GGAACTTTTGCTGTTGAGCAAAATGTGTACTTTCTGGGCCTATATGCTGCAGCATGAATAAATGAATGCTTTTTACAAAGATAATTATTTAATTGCCTTTTCTTATACAACATTTCATGTCCAAAAGGCAGAGTTTGGCTTTAAACATCAAGAGCTACTGAAGCAATTCTCTGCCTTATAATGCCTGTTTATGCAGAAGATGAAAAGCAATTCTGTTTTTTTGTGCTTTTGTAATCTGTAATCTTCTCACAAATGTTATTTAATACTGGTATTACACATCTCCTCCATGCCCTATGAAAATACACAACTTAATGCATGCTTCTATTCAAAATCTCTTTCTGTACAAAACATATATTCATTTTATATTTGAAAAATATCATGCTAGACTTTCCTATACAGTAAATAGAGGGAGTGTGCTTGCCTTGGTAAAATACAGTACATTGCCTCTTTAAAGTACATGCAAACCCTATCTGGATGACATTTAGTTTGATTAAGCACTGTGTATCATAACCATTTGCCAATGTTTAACTAAAATACTGTGTATGACAGGGTGACAACCATGAAGAACAATTGGGTGAACAGGAATAGAACACCCAAGTCACCCCACAACAGGAAATGCTTTAACAAGGGCCTTCATTGCAGCATAACCAGCTAAGATTCTGATTTATAGATATTGAAAATTACTTTAGAATTTTTTTAAACATACTTTAACATATTAACTTATTTAATTTTATTTAGTTTAATATGTTGAAGCATATATGGCATTTATTGATTGGGTGTACATATACTTTAAATGCAGCTGTTGTCTATACACTCTAGAATAAGTCATTTTGTGCTAAAACACTCAATATTCATGAGGTGTAATCTATTCTCAAGTGGTGAAATGGCAGGCTAAATCTTAACTCAGCTTTCAAAGTGTGTCGGCACTCTTTTATCACATTCAGTAGCTTACATGAATTTTACTTTTCATTGAATGGCTTCAGTTAGAGTCAGTAAACAGTACTCTGTATAACTTAGGAGCTTTGAGCAGAAAATACTTATAATATATATTTTTCAATATTTGACATCTTTTATATACAAAAAGTTTACAAATGGGAATTGGACTATGAATGATATAATTTTTCTGCATGCAATACTTTTTTTAAATGGTTCCTTTCAGATATTCCTCTATCATTAACAAGCTGAGTGAGTGTTGTAGTTAATCAGTCTTTACTTCTTTGAAGGTAGTTACACCTTTTAAAATGCAGATCATTAGTCTTCTGTGCTGAGATTTCTACTTTATTAGAAATTGGCACAGGATTAATGGCTTGTTGTGCCAATGCTTGAAGTGTCCAATAAGTTAAGTATACTGTTGTTGTGGTTTATTATGTGTTATGCTGGCCTATGATGATGACATCTATTCAGTTTCTCTGTTGAAACTGAAAAATAATGGCATGGATAATCCACTATTTGTAACTAACCACTGAGCAATTAAGTTAAAGGAACCCGGATTTTCTATCAGATTGAAGAGGTTTCTACTTTTGCACAATCTATCACAATTGGTAAAACCAATCGAAGTTTGCAAGTCAATTTAAATAGTTAATGGTAGGTTGTCTTTATTCTGCCTATGGCATTGTTCACACGAGCTTAAAGCGGACCTTTACACTCAAAAATAAAATTCTACCAATGCATCTCTGTATGTATGATGATTAATAATAACATAGACATGTCAGGTGTAAAATGCTGTGATTTTGAAATACTTACACTTGCAGAGCATTTGCTCTGTTGAAAGGGCAAAATTACTTCAGTTTGGCTAAGCAATGCACACTGGGATTGCCTTGTAGTCAGCAGAGCATTGCTGTGAAATCTCATCTGTAATCTCACAAGATTTCAGGGAAAGGCATTTTCCTCCCCTGAGATGATGTGCATGGTCACATATCCTAGTCACATGTGCCAGAAATCCAGGAAGAAATAAGAGGGCTAGTAATCTGCCCTTAGTAAACATGGCCAATGTGAGAAGACTGGGGAAGAAAAGAGAAATAAGGTGTGCAAAGAATACAAAGCCTGCAATTATCTAGAAGTATCTGTTTGTAGATTGCCATAACTAAACATTTCTAAAGGTGTGTTTGTTATTTTAAAGATATGGGTAAAGGTCCGCTTTAAGATATGTATAAGAGCAGTCTGAACACCAAATTACCAGCAAGCTTTTGCAAAGCATTTGGGAAGCTGTCTGCAAACTTTGAACAGATTTCTTGAAGCCTTTATAGCACTCTTCAGCTGGGAATGTTCAGGTCAGATCTTAATGGAAGTGTTGACTGTCACTTTTGACAAGCAGCTAGAAGGCTTCAGTAGGCTGAACAAACGTTAACAAAGTTATTCACAAAAGGGTGAAGAGTTTGGAAAAGGCAGGGGACATGAACAATCTAGGACAACATAGCTGAACTGGAAAGTGAGCTGAATTGGTGAATGTTTGCAAATCAGCTATGTTGTGCTAAATTTTTCACTTCTCTTGACATCTCCACCATTCACCCTTGACTTCACTCTTCACTCTTGACTCTTCACCCTTTTGTTAATATCCCTGTAAGTTGTTACTGAAGCCTGCTAGCAGCATATTGAACATTCCCAAACTGGAGTTGGATAGTGCTTCAACAGCTTCAACAAAGCTTGCTATAAGCTCGGCAAATGCTCTGTAAAGGTTCGCTGTTCACTTTTATACAAGCTGTGTTCAATTGTATGTCCAAGTAGGGAAAGGTTACATTTCTACGGCTGTCTGTGGCTCAGTAGTATAGTTTTACCCTCATTGTCACCAGAACAGGAAGTACAAGAACATCTCCAGCAGGTGAAACAAAATAGCAATGAGAACACAATTCATAGTAGAGTAGAGGAAGGCTAGAATCCCCGCCAGCTTTTTTTTTGCTATCTGTGCAATATATGAAATCTGTGCAATGCAGATTTCCCCTTGCTTCCTGCATGATGAGAATATTATCACATTGACAGGAAGTGAGGCTAAATCTTCCCAATAACACCATAGGCAACAATAATAAAATGACAGACATTCTAACTCCAATTCAAATTCCACAACTATAACCAAAACAAACAAAATGCATGTTGACTGGAGCTATAGTGTTAGGGCATGTTTAGCCATTAGTGATAGATCAGAGGTCAGGACAATTAGGGGTACTGTTTTATTTGTACATGTTTCTGGCACCTTCCTCTACTGTGCAGGGTTGCCAGCACTGAAAACTAGCATACTGCTTCAATGGACATTGGTGGTATTATGAACATCTATGTCTTGGCACAGATGGAAGCAAAGTCTGTACTTAAAGGAGGAACATTGGTGGACCTTTCTTGAAAGGTCAGCTTTACCCAAAACTGATGTTTTCATTATAGATAAGGACCAGTGCAATAAATAACCTGCGGGATTTTTGCATATCCGGAAATCAGTATTTATTTGTGTCTCTTTCCATCAGGTAATAAAGAAAGTGTTACTCTCTTGGAGCTGGATTATCCATTGTAGCAGAGTAAGTTCAATTTAGAGGTGTTTTTTTGCTGATGATCCATGTCTACAGAGCCACACAACGACATGCATTTACTTTTCACACTTACTTTTATGAGGGCCTATAATCAAGCTGATTATAATAGAACTCATAAGGACAGAACATATTTGGTATACTATCCTGATCCTGAGAAGACATATTTTCCTAAACACATCAGACACACTGAAGTAGTTTGCAGTGTTCAGCCTGTCAAGTCCTGCATGGAAACATTTATATACATTTGTCAATGTTATTAATAGCTTATTCACATGGGCAAATTGTTTTTAGTTTTCTGTCCCTGTATCCAACTATTCTTAATCAGGTTTCTTCTTCATAGCAGCATATATTCTAGTTTTCATGATAGAGATATTGGCAATCAGTGACTCTCCAACCAATGTTCAACTAGTAGGCTTAAAATCTTAAATAAAAGTGTGCTGGGCTTATTCATTAAAGCAGTGCAAAAAGCAATTAAGATTTGCAAAGTGCAATTATTTACTAAATTGAGCAAATTGATTTGCAATCTGGGCAACCTAAGAAGTTTATTATTGGCCTTTATATATGTATATGTAGAGAATCATACAAATTAGGATACGAGATTGCCTGCACTCCAGAAGTTCAAGATTCTCCAAAGATCAGGCAGATGCACATTATAGTCAGTACAATTAAAAAGGAGCAATCAGCGATTTGTTTGATTCAAGTCATTACTTTTTTTTGTAGCCAATCAGAATGAACTTTTACTGAAATCAAATGGGTAGGAAAATGAATTGTAACTTGCTGAAACTCATTTATGTTCGAGGAACAGCTCTTTGCTTAATTTAATAAGCCTGTATGTGGTGATTGATTACATTTCATTGAGGTTCATTAGCTTGAAAATAATAACAAAAAAAGCAATTCATAACATTTACAGATACATCTCAAACAGCTTCAGCTGCTTACCAGGACTCCCTTGTCTTTAAAGGGAAGAAAACCTTACTGAAATTGTAGTTAGTACTAGCAATTGTGGAATAAATGTGGGCATCTAAACCCTATAGAGTGGTTCAAGATATTACCATAACATGGCATTTTTCAAAACAGAAAAAATGAGCTCAGAAAACATTCTAAATTTTTGTTAATGGGAAAGGTAAGGGAAGGAGGAAAGTAGTGCAGGCAGGTCTGACATCATTGCTGATCTCAGAAGGAAGAAGTGTTAAGGCTGGATTGATGTTACCCCTGAGAGTTGTTGGCCAACTTCTTTTTGTGCTGCTGGGTATTTGCTGCTGCTGGAGCAACTACCCAATGCCTACATAACAAGATGACTTCAACTGTAGAGGTAATGTAATAAAGTAATGTTGGAACTGAAGGCTGTCATTGCATATAGAGTACCCTTGTGTTTGTGGGTTCCATGGGATCTGAACAATAAAATTAGGTATATGAGCTTTAGTTCTCCTGTCACTTAGATAACATTATCCAAGTGAGTGGATTGCTTTTAAACTTCATTGTTGGAGAGTTGCTGACTGTCAACATCTTCTAAATTTCCCTGCAACACACAAAAACCCTGTGTGGACATTAATAATACTTCTCTTATTTACACATACAGAAATACAAAGTGAGGAGGTGAAAGTGTACAAATGTCCAAGAAAAGACAGCATGTGGATCTTATACACAGCCTTCGTGACAGATATGTTTGCCATTAATCAGACTGAAACTGGCCATCGAGTGGTTGGTACTCTTCAGAGAGGTCATTCTGGTGGTGCTTCTTCCCATGCTCTGTGATCGGACAATGAGCCTGGGCCTGCAGCAGAACAATTGGTTGTTGAACTGTTTCCTGAAGCTCTTGCTGAGCAAGTACAATGCAAATGGATTAACACAGGAATTGGTAAAAGCTAACACCCGTGCACAGATGCTGGTGATGTAGTGCAGGACGGAAGTGTCCACTTCTGAATAATGGTAGGAGCGGTATAAATAGATTACGTGGTTCGGCAGCCAACAGAATGCAAAGAGTCCAACAAAAACCAAGACTGTTTTTGCAAGTCGCTTTCGGGATTCAATCTAGGAAGAAGAATAACAATATTAGTGCCACATAATAATCATATAACGTAAAATGAAAACATTTTATGAAAAATCTTAATTATTATACAGTAAGGCAGGTCAGGAAAATACTCAAACTGCTTTGTGAACAATATTTATTATTGGTCTGACTATGAAACTTGGGTGGAGGCCATGGAATGATCACTGCTACTCTCCTCAGAAGAACATACTCAAATTTTTGCTTGAAGCCCATTTCCGGGCAAACAAAAAATACCTTTGCAGTGGGGCTACCCCTGCACTACTGCAAGGGTTATGTGCTTGTTCATGACTCCGGCTGGAGTAAATCAGATTTACTTACCTGATCCCACTGGCTCCCTCTGGGATGTCAGGCCGATCCCCACAGCCTCTTCTCCCTTAGGCTCATTCGGTCTACAGACCACTGATGTTAGCACGTCTTATTCTGACTAATGCCCATAGAGGGGGGGGGAGGGAGAGGAGAATGCTGGCCACATAGGGAGCAGGGACTAGGTAAGTAAATCTCCTTAACTCCACCCACTGGGCAAAAACAAGCACTTAACCCTTGAAGTGCAAGGGTAGCCCCAATGCAAGACTAGATTTTTCTTTTGTCTGGACATGTCCTTTAAAGTGTACTTCTTCAGCCAGATTTGAGAAACTTTCACTGTATATTTGTTACTTTTTACCCATTTACACACTATATCTAAAATATTTCTAAACAATTCTTATAATTCTTGTGTTCTTTGGAGCAGGTTAATAGACTGCAAACTGTTCTGATCAATTTCACAGCGCAAGGGACAAACTGTGAAAGCACGCATTAACATATAGGGGTCTATTAACTAAGCTGCCATAGGCAGCCGAGTGAATGACCAACCTAAAGCGAAGTGAGCCGAACGCTGTTCAGCTATTCACTCCAGGCTGGTACGGCTGATTTCAGCCGTATATTGGCTGTAATCAGCCGTACATCGGGTGGCTTCGGGTCAGCCGAACCTCCGGCAGGCTACTCGCTGCTGTTCGGTCTATTCTTATAGATGCCGAACAGCAGTGAGTGAATAGCCGAAAGCTGCTGAGCGGCATTCGGTTCGGCTGTTCTGCTCGGTCCCACAGCAGAACAGAAAAATTGTTTAAAAAGTAGAAAAAAATAAATAATCCAGACGATTGTGCAGAGCTAGCAGTGACAGTTAGCTCCGCCCAGCTGTTTTCTATTGGCCGGCGGTTCTGCTGCCGTCCAAAAAAAGAAGAAAAAAAACTCTCTCGGGTGCTCCGGGAGTCTCCCGCTCCCGGCCTGCCAAGGAGAGAAACACTGCTTTTTCGTTTTTTTTCTTTATTCTGACACGGAGCCGTGTTAGAATAGAAAAAAAAACAAAAAACATTTGTTTGAATCTAGAATGCATTGCTAGATTCCTATTGGCTATTTCAATTTGCAATAGCCAATAGCAAACTAGCTTTTGTTCCTTGCCCTCTTCTGCTGTCAATCAGCAGCAGAGGGCAGGTGCAATGCTAGTTTGCTATTGGCTATTGCAAATTGAAATAGCCAATAGGAATCTAGCAATGTATTCCTATGGCCGAAATTTTTTTATAGTGAATAGCCCGTACAGCAGCCCTTCGGTTCTACTGAACCGAAGGGGTCCTGGGGCCGAAGCTAGCCGAAGGATCGGCCGAAGCTACGGCTAGATCCTTCAGCTGCTTCGTGAATAGACCCCATAATGTACCACCCAAGCCTTGAGATCCTTAACCTTTCTTAGGATAGACATATGCACATCTAGTTTACAACTGATAATGAGATCTGCCAGCACAGTACAGACAGGGTTAATTATGGTAAAACATTACTTCAAAACATTGGATTTTAAAGCAATAAAAAAGGTAAGCAGCCATTTTTAAATATTTGTTTAGCTTATACTATGTGAATTGGAACATGTAACAAATATAAAATAGGTGTTATCCCAATTTGGCTGTAAAAGTGGAAATACACTTTAGGCTTGAATTCCCAGTCAATATGCTGACTTCTGGTGTCCAAACTTGTCTTTCAGTATCTGAATTATGGAAATATTTTATACTAGTAAAACTGCCTTAAAAGACAATTGTTCCTGTTTGTGTTTTTTTTTTTAATCCTTAGTGTGCCGATTCTAGGACATTTATTTAATCAGCAATATAAATGCTATACCTTTTTTTCCACATAAACTAAGATTTTGCCATGATCTAGCTAAAGGCTCCTGGGGAGAAACAAGTAGGCAGGAAGCACTCTCCTATGCTCTACTAGACCCAGCATTTACTGCACCTGAGGAAACTCACTCCTGCCTCCGCCTCCTTCCCATCTGTTCCTCCTGCAAACCCCAAATCCGTATTGCTTCAATTATATTTATTCCTTAACAACCTGTATTGTGATTTATCAAAGCACAGCAACCTTTGTCAGCTGAGGAAATTAGGTCAGTAGCTAGCAACATATTCTAATACATCTAACTGGGTGTGAGCTGAAGAAACATGTTCATCCAATATAACAAGAAATATAATTGCACAAAGATTAGAGGAGGCTGACTATCTGTTTTATAAATCACAGTTAACTTAAATGAGACCATTTTTTACCTATGGCACAAAATCAGTAATTGGGACTACAAAACATTATTCCTTGCCTTAACTGACAAAGAATGCATCTAACAAATGTGGCATCTAACCAGTACAGAAACAATTCTTCATGTTGTCCATATCAACATAAATAACTAAATAATGGTGTTAGTGATTCAACAGGGAATACAATATATTGATCATTTTGTATCAGACAGTATACTGCATAGGAGGACTGGAGACGACTAGCTGCAGATGTCTGCATTGCGGTAATGATGGGTTTTTCCTAAATGGTACCCCAATGTACCTAAGGGCCCATTCATATCAGGGTTATTCCTTAGGCATGTAATGTCACATGTTAATGTGCTTTGCATTAAAGCAAAACCATACTCACCTCTGTTCAGCAATGCCTCATCCATGAGCTATCTCACTGGTGCCAACATATTCTACCCGGCTTCTTCCAGGTTCAGCACCTTCGTCCATCTTGACTGGTCAATGCGGGATAACATAACTCTCACATATCTGCTAGGATTGGACACTGAGCTGCACATTTTCAGCTCTGCATACACACAAAAGAAGATTGTGCACAGGAAGGTAAGAAGCTTTTATTGCAGAAGAGGCCTATCACGTCTCTTCTGCAATAACAAAAACCTGCCTACTGCTTGCTATCTTTTTAAAAAACAGCTATAGTTCTCCTTTAAGGCAGCATATTAATTCAAATGGTGCTACCTAATGCACCTCAATTGACCAGAAATTGCACCTGTAGCAAGTTTTAGTACTGCAAAGCACTGCAACACAAGTGCATTGGAAAGGTATGTTGAGGTGCCATTCACAATGATGCATTAAAATGTCCATTGTGGTGTGTTGGTAGCCCATTTAAAAAAAATTGACTGGCTTTCAACAACGTACATTGACCCATGAAATTTAGGGGTACATTAAAAACAAGGAGAGCAGCCTGACTACAGCCACACACTCTTGAACAAAAAAAGGGTCCACACATTTATTACCATAAAGCAAAGAGAAGTCCATGACACATGACAGGCTCTACAATGCAGCCAGTAATTTAAGAATAGCCTTAAAATGCCGACCGTGGTGTTGATCAATACTGTAGTATTCTGCTCTTTGATAAATCAGTCACATACTTTTTACTGGGCCAGCTTAAATCCCACACAACAAATGGCTTAGGGCAGAGTTTAAACAAGGCTTAAGCACAATTTAAAATTAAAAAGTGAAAATATTCTAAGGCAAAGAACAATACTAATGTTCTATTACTAGAAAAGTGTTAAGTACAGTAATGTAATTTGATGTGGTTTTATAGCTGTAGGGACCCTGCCATAAGCTAGAGTGTCTCTATTTAGTGCTGCAACTAGGCTGTAGTCATCCCAAGTTTTGAAACGTATTGTTTATTATTTCTGTATTGGTTGGGTTTCCCCTAAGTTCAGACTATTGTTTACTCCTGCCTGTTAGGGAGTGTTCCTGACAGAGAAAGAAAAAAAACAATATTACTGAGTTATGAATATTTATTTATTTCTGGCAAAACACTAGGACGTTTACTGCCAGTGGTGCAAGCTGGGGATGGATATAAATATTTGCGGTGACCTTGTAGAAGGGCTTTTGTCTTTGCATGCATTGTCTGTTGTGGAGGTTCTGCTTTAAATCTGTATCTCCCAGGTTTGCTGCATGTGAGGTCTATGCTGAAAGAGGGGTTTGAGCTTGGACTCAGGGAATGTAAGTTGCTTTGCTGGAGGGCACATCCAGAAAGATTTGAGCAGGAAGATGACTGCCTGCATGGAGCATGTTGGGAAGAGGCTTTCTCTACTAAATAGTGTCCTGGAGAGCTGGGTAGAAGCTGCCGCCAATGGACATTGCAGGATGTTCTGACTGCGCATCCTTGGAGGCACTGGTGCTACCTGGTGGGCTTATTTAACAGTCTATCAATACAGATTGCCAGTCTCAGCTTATTTACTATTGTTCATAGGCTGCATTAACTTTTAATAGAGGTGAAGGTTAGTTAAATTTCTGTCCATTTTAGGTATCCTTTCCCTACTTTAATAAAATACTTAAATGCTCTAAACTGACTGACACCCAATTCCTTCCACCCTCACAAAGAGTCAAGGATTCCACTCTAAAGCTGGCCATACACTATGTGAATGTCAGCTGGTTCCCCATTTGCACAGTGGGTGCCTTATTTTGCCTAGGATAGATGGCAATGTGCAGATAAGGGACAAACTTGTGGTACAATTTTTGAAGTACAATAACATACAATGTGTATTATAGCACGCATTACCCCAAAGCCCCATCCTCAACATTACAGAGAAAATGGGAAACCTAAATACAATTTTTAGCAAGTAAAAAAAGCAAGCAGAAATGTTTAAATATTTTTTTTCTTCAAGTTATGCTGTGTGAATAGGAACATGTCACAAATATAAAGAAGGTGTTATACC